ATTCAGCTTCAGAATACCTCCATCCTCGCCACCAAGACCCGCTATATGGATCGCATTATTAGGGAGGCAATTGAGATTGAACTGCATCCAGGAAATATGAACAGAGAAGGGGGGTTTTGTCTGAGCAAGTCTTGGAAACCTCTCATCTGTTCTCTTAAAAAACCCCACCGGGATATGACGTCAGATCCAGAAGGCCACACAGGCCATGACCAACCAACATAACAACCCCCACCCCTCACCTCGCGGGTGGTGTCCAGCCTTCAACCTCGCCTTTTCTCTCCCCTACACAAAAACCACGCTTGTCCTAGCTCCCTTCCCCAACCCCTCCCACACTACTGCTTTCACTTGTATACTTGCCCTTCCCCCTTCTCCCTCACTGCTCTCACATAGCTGTGTATTTTTCCACAGTCTGCTTTTACTGGTTCTCACGGTCTCTTTGCTTGCAGATTCTTATTTATTTTTTTTCTTCTACCATGAAAATGGAGGCGATACGTTCCTCCGAAACGTCGGTTAACACCACATATACACGGTGCCAAATCCCAGAAGACTGCTTTCTTCAAACTGTGCTTAACTTGTGAAGCAAAAAATCGATAGGTCCTTTACAAGTTAGATGACTGTCCAGCTGCAAACCGAGAAATTTTATCATTTCTACTTCCAGCTTTTTGTTAAAAAAGAATGTACATAGAGGGTAGCTCATAGCTGCTGTTGGGGTGAATTTTATCATTTTTGTTTTATCCAGATTTAACACTGATTATTTTGAAACCACAAAAACATACGATTGAAAACAACATCCAATTTTGTTTTTAAATTATAGTAGTCTTTAGCTGTGCAAAGAATGCTTGTGTCATCTGCAAACATAATAACTTCCGAGATTTTACTTATTTCAAGGGGGAAATCTTTTATGTATATACTAAAGAGTAAGGGTCCCAACGCTGATCCCTGAGGCACACCACATCCAACATTTTCCCAGCTAGAATAATATTTGTTATTTATATAATTTAATTCCACTCTTTGCCTCCTATATTGGATGTAAGATTTAAACCATTGCAATAATACACCCTGCACTCCATAGTACTGCAGTTTCATTAATAGCAGATCATGGTTAACACAGTCAAAGGCCTTGGCTATGTCACTAAATATACCAGTTACATCTTTTCTGTTCAGGCTGTAAGTATTACGTTGGTTAATTTAAACATTGCATCCTCAGTTTATAATCCCTTTTGGAATCCATACTGCTCTGAAAGCAATATTTTATGTTTTACGATATGATCATTGAGTCTTCTAAAAATTGCTGTTTCAAAAACTTTTGCAAACCCAGTTATTATAGATACTGGCCTGTAGTTACTTATAACAGCTTTTTCCCATTTTTTGTATACTGGCTCAATAATTGCATATTTTAATCTTTCTGGATATAGACCCATGGTTAATGACTTGTTAATTACATAGGTAGAGGTTTACTGATTTATTATCTCCACTGTTTTATAATTTTATTTGTTACACCCTGAAGAATTTTTTGATTTTAATTTGCTAATTATACTAATTATTTCCTCTTCTGCAACTAAATTAAGATTCATATCTGGAATACCATTTGAGAAATGGGAATGCAAGTATGACATTGCAGTATAAACATTAGTTTTCTTAATATTAAGATTTTCTGTTATTGTTGTGAAAGATTTATTGAAACTATGAGCTGCTTCTTCAGTATTTATTTTTTTATTATTATTTTGAAAAGTCTGTGGTAGACGTTCTTTATTTTTATTGTTAGTCCTACCTGTTTCAGCGTTGATAATGTTCCAAGTAGTTTTTATTTTGTTTTCAGCTGATGTGATTAACTGATTATAATATTTCCTACATACGTATATTGCTGGAATTCCTACATTATTACCAAGAATGTCTTAGTTAAACATAGCACTTCATCTGTTTTCGCCCCAACAAAAGGCAAATTATTAAGCTTTTCAATTTAGTTAGTTATGCCAACATTAAAAAATAAACACTATCAGATTAAGAATTAAGTAACCCAGTATCATCCCTTGTCCAAGTATGTTTGGTTTATGTGTACTATTTACACTTTGTTAGTCTGATGGCATTGATGTGAGCTTTACAGGTTTCTGGGTATATAGACATTGGTCTTCTAGGTTATGACACTGTGTAGACTGGTAGGTGGTTACTATTGTTTTGGGGAACCCTACTGTTTCCATCTTCAAGGTGTAAGGTTGGGGGCAGCAGGTTCCTCCAAAACGTTTGTATTCACCTATCAGAGTACACAGTGTTATAACTAGGGCCCGGATTTTTTAAAATGCATATTTTGAGGGTTTTTTTGTCATTGTTGCATATTCTAAACATAAGAGCATATTTCTACATATATGTTTGAAATTAAGGATAATTTAAATATTCTCTAAAAAAATTGGTTTTTCCCGTGTTTTGGACATTCCTTGCCAGTTGCTATTCTCAACTCTCTGAGTAACAACACTTTTCCCACTTACAAAGCAAGCAGGTAGCTTGGTTGTTTTGAAAGGGAGGGGTGGGATTTTCCTGCATTCCTTTGACCACCACAGCAGACAGTAGCATCAGAGGGTTGGTCTCAAGAGAAGCCTCTTCAGTTAATGTGTTACTTTTTTCTTTAATAATCTGCGTCAAAAAAGTGTTCATATACTGAAAATGTGTAAAGAAAGGTGCAGCAGTAGATATTTAAAAAATCAGTGGGTGTCCAGTTCTACAAAGATTACCTACCTCAGGTTCCTCTGCCACCTGAACCTACCCTAGCTAGGTGGGGGACATGGTCATCTGCAGTTTCATTTTATCAGGAATATTTCAATCAAGTAAAAGAAGTGGTTACAAAACTTGGAGTATGCATGTGTCCGTGAAGCAGAAGTGGTGTTTGGATATGATACAGTTTATCAAGATGTGAATTTTATCCATGCACATTTTGCTACAGTTTCAAAAGCCATTGAGAGCTTAGCATCTTGTGGTGCACTCCTTCATGACTCACGAACTTGTTCAGAAACCCACTTGTTCACTGTATTCCGCTCGAGGCGAAATTGGAGAGAAGATTAAATGCAAGTTAGAAATGGTGTTGAATTTGAACCCAGGACTAAAAAAATTCACTCAGTCAGTATTTTAGTGAAATTAGAGTATCTGCCAGATGAATGTTCTGAACCTTTGGCGCCAGTGTATAAATACTGTCCAATCACGTCAATTGATGTAGAAAGATCATTCTCGGCCTATAAACTCATTTTGACAGACAATAGACGTAGTTTGTCTCCATAAAATCTTGAAAGACTTTTAGTTGCCTATTGTGATGCTACTTTCTGCAGTGAATGATACATGCACATGTAAATAGGTGAGTCTGAATAAAGTGACCTGTTTCTTAAGTGCATATTGTTTTATTTTTGGTGCATATTTTCCCACTTTTTAGCACATAAAGATCCGGGCCCTAGTTATAACTCAGAAGACCACTGATAATATTTGTGTTGATACCCATTCTAACAATATTGTTGCATGTATACGAAAATGTGAAGAGTTGCTGTGTTTCCAATTTTTATCTCTGTCGTTAGTCATCATGTAAGTCTCTTTGTGAGTCATGTACTGCAAGGCATAATCTTCCATACCTACAGCCGGCTATGGCTCTTGTACATCTCGCAAAGGTCAGAAAAATGGAAATATATATGTGAATTTGTTAAATCCTAATTAGCTCTTTTGTCCATTACAGGCACTGATTTTGTTGATCAATCTTGTAGAACACAGCAAGGCCAACAGGAAATTACTTCTTGAAGCCAAAGCACCATCAGATCCTGAAAGTATATTTTTCCGTAAGTTCATGTCACTTTCATTTTTTAATAACAATAAGGCCAGAATTTATAAGCATTTATTATATGCGAGTCTTAAGTCAAGTAATATTACTTTACCCTATGTAGTTAAATGTGCCCCTCTCCTTCTGGCATTTCTGAAACTATGCCACTACAGTGTGACTTCCAAGAGAACTAAGAAAATGATGTCTTTATTACATTTTAACTAAACAGGTTGTGAGCAGAGGTCAGAATATGTAACATACTGTACCACACTCCAGTTATTACTATGATCTTTGGTTAATTATTCAGTCAGTTTGTATTGTCACCTGTAGGGGGGTATGCATTATGAAATGACGGGTTCTAGTTCAGATGATTGGATTTATTAGCAGCTTGCTTACATTCTCTTTTAATTACACTCAAATACAGCGCTATTGCTGATTTACATACACCTCATAATTCACTGTTAACATGCACACTAGTTCTGTCTTGGTAATGGATCTCAACACAGAAACTAGGGCTTCAGATCACTCCAATTATTGCACATAATTAAAGCCTTCCAATCACATGACAAACTTCACGTGGCTGTCACTGTCACTTAAACACTCTCAGATACTCCCCAGTACTACTTTGTTATTCCTGGAATCTTGTTATAAAGCCTTCGCACCGATCGCATAGAAAACGTCACACTCACATTGTTGCCTTGTGTGTATTCAGTCGCGAGGTGTTTAACGGTCAGTTAATCTAGCAACGCTGATTCCATCCTTGTTACAGTATAAATATATTATGCTGTAGTAGTTAAGTTGCAAAGACCATCCACATAGGCGATTTGTGACAGTAGTTTGCTGTAATGTGTAACAAAGTACTTAGTCTCATCTTGCTGTAAAATTTAGCCAAATTAATTCAGTTAGTAAAGTGTCCGTGCTGAACTACCAGGCTTCAGTACCTGACAGGGCAAGGATTGTTCTCTTCACCGCTCTGCCTGAACTGGTTTTGGGACACATCCAGTCTACTACGAAATTGGTAATGAGAACTTTGTCCAGGGGTTGTAGCAAGGAGTTGGCCATTGATCTTTGTCTGGTGCCAAGATTGAGAATATGTGGAGCTTTACTTCCACTTCCCAGTGTGTCTTAATGGCATGGTAGTTACACACTACAGTTTATGACCAGTGTAATAAAAAAATTGTGTTACCATATTGGGACATTGCCTTAAAACAAGCCATGTTGCATTTCTAATTCATGTCTTTATATGACATATTCAACAACAAAAAAACGCTCTTCAGTAACTAGTAAAGTGAGCAGACATGAAAGGCAATTGTATTTATATGCTAGAGGTTTGTAAAGAGCGTTCCTATCAGATTCTGTGGTATAATTAGTTTATTCTTCGTATTACAGAAGAAGACAAGACTGCTGTAGAAGCACTAATTTCCTTGTTTTATCAGCAAGAGGAACTTGCAAGGGTTGAAGAGGTCAAAACAGATGCTATCCTTGATGGCAAGAAAGATACTGAAGTACCTGAGGCAGAAACATCTGCACCAAAAACTTACGAAGAGTTCATAGAAGAAACAGTTGCAAAATGTAGGTACTTTTTTTCTGCTTATTCGAAAGTGATCTTCAATTTTTGGTGGTTTATGTCAAGCTCATTTGTATAGTTAAAAGTTTTTGAGAAGATAGTTTGTCAGAAGCAAAGCAAAGTCCACTCCATAGATGCTCAACTACATTGTTATAAATATTCCAGTGCTGTCATTGTTTTTAGTATACCATATGTTAAGTTTCAGGGATTGTCTCCCAGCATTGTTGCATTATGGTATTGTTATTGGTTGATTTGTTAAAGGGTTTATAGTGAAATAAGTTGCACTTGTTATATGTAGTTGCCAACATGTTATATCTAATGTTAAAGACTAAAGTTGAACTAACTTAAATCAGATTTTAGTACTGGTATTTCTTGTGGTCTAGTGGTCAGAGTTCCTGGCTACAGATCCTGAGGTCCCAGGTTCGATTCCCGGTGCTACCAGATTTTCTGAGAAGAAGTTGGTCTGGAATGGGGTTCACTGAGCCTCATGAGAATAATTGAGGAGCTATTTCAAGGAAATAGCGGCCACAGTCTAGAAAACAGATTAACAGCCATGGGGATTCGTTGCACTGACCACACGACACCCTCTATCCGCAAAAGGTGGCACTAACTTCACCACCGACAAGCAGCAGTCGCTTGGTCAGAATAGTTCACTTGCAGACTAAAAGCCACTGAGTTTTTTTTTTTTTATTTCTTCCACACCAGGTATATTGGTGTATCTCCTTGACTTGATGCTCAAGGCTTCATTATAGTAACACTGTTTAATACATGAATATGTGTTTGACTTGAAGGAAGGATCAGCTACCTGTTACACCTTATGTATATTAATGTTCATCCACCAACAGTGTTGCAGAAAGCCGGACGCAACATGGAGCATACACTGATTGGAGCATATATTGGTCTTCTGCTAGGATACCTTATTATGGATAATAAGGTAAGATTGATTAGTTGATAGGATATTCAACAATGCTGTCAGTATCAAGACTGTAGTGGGAATTGATGGGGGGAGCCAAGTACGTGGAGAAAAGCTGCTCTATCTTCACTTTGCCCACCACAAATCCCACATAATCTGACCTAGGATGAAACGCAGGCCACTATGGTGGGAAACCAGTGACTGTCTGCTTGAGCTATAGCAGAGCCCAAGTAATGTAAGAGAACTTCATTGTCATTGTTGTGTGTCACATTTAAGTAGTAGTGTTTGTAACTTGAGAGCAGTTGGTTAGTATGACAGTAATGCATCTGACTTGTATTTGAGAAGTATCTGATTTAAATCCTACCCAGGATCAGTTATCATGACAGATTTTCATGGTTTTCCTCTCTTCCCAGACAATTACCATTGTACTCAAAGTATGTTACCTGTTTGGAGAAATGCATATACATAGAACAGAGAGAGAGAAATATCAGTATTGTCGGAAAAGAAAAGAAGATCCCTACATCATGGCATCCAACTTAAATTACCATTCCAATGCTTTATAATTATTGTACCAAATCTGACTGTACCACTTTGTGTGACAGGAATATGAGCTCCAAGTACGACAGTATTTGCCAGAGAAGAACTTCAAACTGATGGTGATGGTACTGCAGAAAGTGTACAACTTCATGAACCTTACAGCATCTGTAAGTTTTTTGTTCTTATTGGTAATGTTTCTGAATTTAACTCATTTTCCTTCAGTTGCCTCTGAACAGAGAGAAATAGTATTGTTTTAGTCAGAGTATTATTATGGCTTTTTGAACTCGCACAAATGTATGTGTAGTAGATTGGTTAAAGCAACAGCCTTCAGACTGTTGTAGTCATACATTGCAGCCTTGGACTCGTGGATTATTGCTAACAACACCCATTTCCTTGGCCTTGACCAACAGAGAGAGTACTGTAAAACAGCTATATTATCGACCCTAAAATCATGACCTGCAGAGTGCCACTGGTAATGTAAAAAAAAATGACACAAGTGCTGTATTTTCACACTGGGAATGTAAAAATTATTCTACGAAAGAAGTATCCTGTATTCAGGTAAATACATGAAACTGGCTAGTCTGAAGGAGTGGTGTGCAATATATGTAAAGAAACATGAAAAATAATGCAATTAAGAAGTCTTAAAGAATTAACTAGGCATGAAGTAATTTTACAGTCGTGTGGTGCACAGTTTAAAGCTCTTTATTTTGGATCAAAAAAAAAAAAAGGTAAAGTTTTCCATGTGCTTAACAAATTAAGCCCTATGCCATGAAGGTGTATGAGGTAGTGGATTTATAGACCCACATTTTCTTGACCTTGGCACTAGCTGGAGGTAAGTGGTCACCTTCATGCCCTGCAGGAGGTTGGGTGGACCCCAGAGTTGGTCTGGACTAGTTGGAGAAGAGAAAATTCTTGACCCTACCAGCACTCAAACTCCGAACCCTCTGCCTTCCAGCCCGTAGCCAGTTGCTATACTGACTATGCTACTCTCTACCAACTACTCTACCCCGGCTCCTGTTATTTTGGATCATGTCTAACATTTAGAAAGTTGGTTCTGTTTTCATCTTCAGGTTGTAAGAAAATGAAAAAATTCCTCAAGTTAAGGTTCTGCCTCAAAAGCTGAATTTCATTGGTCTCATTTCAGTAACCAGAGCATTCAAGTGTCATCACTAAAGATGTTCCCAATTTTGTTTCAATCACTGCCCCTTAACAAAACCTTAAATGAGGGTTTCAGTACACTTTCTTTTTGTCATAGATACATATATTACATTCCATGGATCCAGAGTTAGTCAGAAATGAACATAGGATATGGAATGAGTCAGAAATACAGAACATACAGTATATGTACAGTATGACTGAAGCCTCTGTATAAAAAAGAGGCATGTGAAATATAAAGTAAGCAGAGGGTTTGTATAAGATATTCATCAGTACTTCCACTTATGCTATTCATATAAACCTTTGAATAGATTATGAGTCATTTTTAGGTAATAGGAAATTATCAACAGAGGAGAATGAGTATATTTAAGTGTGTTTTTAGTGCTACTTTTAATTGGGCATTTTAATTAATACTCTTTAGAATAGATGGTAGATTGTTGAAAATGATGATGCTGGCATTTTTCTGAATATATTAGAGGTGGTGCTTTTTCCTTATGTTAACATTGTGCACAACCGAATCAGTCTTAAAATTGTATCGGTTATTTAGAGTGAAGTTCAGTAATGGAAATTTGTATTCATATAGCTATTCTATGCATCATTTGTTTTTAAGGCTGTGGGTAGCAGTCGAGGCATTGCACAGACGGAGCGTGTTATCAACTACCTTGAGCAGTCTGATGTGCGAGCCGCACAGTGTGAAGCAGGAGACAATGCTGAAAGTGTAAAGGTGAGCTTGGCGGTGGCAGCAGTAACGACCACACCGGTCAGCGACAGCATTTCCTAGTGGTTGTAGTTGTAACTAATTGTCAGTGATTGCTCACAAGATTCTGTAATGTACATCACTTTTCTTCCTTTAGTTTGAGAGGAAGTGTTAAAATACTGTCATAATATTTATTAAGTAGTGACACGTGCTGTGATCTGAATACACAGTCTGCTGATGTAAATTTTATGGTGGATGCAGAGATAAAGTAGTGATTTTATGCCAGCCAAACATTAATAATTAATGAAGACATCATAAACTATGTGTATGATGGTGGTGGTGTTTTCATGAAGGTCAGTGTAGATGGACAATTATGTTGGATGCAATATTTCAGGTTTACAACAACTATTTATATGTAAATCAGTAAGTTTTCTCTAAATATTTTAATTTAAAGAGCACAATTTGACTACAGTTGTTTAGGTGTAAGAAACACAACATTCTACAGTCAGACAGGTGTAACTGACATTCTCAGGGCTTGAAAAATAATGACAAATTCAGTAGCCTTGATGAAAATAAGGGTATAATTAATGACAAATTTATATTATTTTAGCTTCAAAACATTTCTTGTATAGTTCAGTGTATCTACTGATTGATAAGGATTCTCTTTTCAGGCACGAGATTTTACTTTTGTGTAATCTGATACCCAAGTTTTTCAAGCCCTGGATTTAACATGTTAGAATTCGCTATATTTATCTGTTTCTTAACAGTTTGTCTTGATCTGGTGAATTCAGTCTACATGATAACTTAAATGCACCCAATGTGAACTGATGGCAGTAATATTTAATGAGAAAATAACGTGGCGCTAAGTTCTATTTTTCCAGTGCGAANGCTTTGGCTGTCTGATGACAACATTTGCATTAGCACCAATTTCTGTAATCTGGTTTAAGAGTAAGGTTTCTGAGGCATGGCATTTTTCCAATTGCCCGTAGAAGTGATCGCAAATATGAAGCATACTACTGTACGAAAGAGAACATTATGCTTTACAGTCCGAGCCATTGAAGTGCATGATATATGATTTAATGTGTCTTTTCGTTTATTCCACAAAAACACTGAGATGCAAAAAGTACCGTGTGGATTCTCAAAATTTCCTGTGTAATAATTAAATTATTAATAGAATACAGTGCATCAGACTGAAAGATTTTTACATGGTTTATAAAGGTTTCTCATCAAGAATTAGTAAACTGTATGTGTGTATATTAATTCGAGAAGAATATGTGAATGTTAATGTGAAGTATGCTGTAATGAGGTTTTACTGTAATGTACTCTGTTAAATCTCAGTTTCCAAGGGAGGACCAAAAGCAACAACAGTCTGTAATGCAAAATTTTGCATTTACCATCCAAAATCATGCATACTGTGTTGCTCATCTCTGTGTACCCTTTCAGTTTCACTGTTTCATTTTCCTTCTAAATCATGCATGCATTTCAATTGTGTGAACTTTATTCAGATGATTTGTATGTAGAGATGGCACATGGTACATAACAAAATTTTAGGAGATGCTAATTTTGTAAGAATCTTAAGAATAAACTTATTTCATATTAGAAATGCGCCTGTGTGTCTAGTTTTTAATATCTTTATGGTCACTGCTCTATGTGAGTACATTTTGTTACAGTCCACAAAAGAGATGCCAAAATATTAATCTTTGTCCAAAATTTCATGTATATCACATCATACTTCAGGTAAGCACTCTTTTCAAGCTTCTGCAATGGCTGGTGCAAAAGCAGTACTATATGCTATTACAATAATAAGTTTTCTGTATGGATGGATATATTATAAGTTACCCTGCAAGGAAAACACATATAAATAATCATGGAACAGTTGACTGAAGCAGTAATTCTACTGACTTGCATTTGGGAGGTGCCAGTTTGAATCTCAGCTGGGATACTGGCTATCCTGACTGACATCAAGTCTGTGCAGGTAAATGCCAGAATGGTATATCCAATTAGGCCATGGTCAAGTCATTGTTCACTGATCGTCCTTCCATTCGACAATGTAGAGTCTGAGCTACTAACAGTGTTGTTATATAAATCCATAAATAGATAATTATGAATTAAGTACAGTTTCTGTCATTTAAGTTCAGTTCCCATAACTGTTAGGTAGCCAGGATAGCTCAGTCAATATAGTGACAGGCTATGATTTGACTGGCTGGGATTTGATTCCCATAAGGGGCAAGAGATTTTTCTGTACTCCACAGCAGCAAGGCTGGCTCTGGGGCCCACCCAGCCTCCTATCCAATGAGTACTGGGGGTTTTTCTTTCTGCTTGTCATATCAGATGATGAAAATTGCGGTGAAAGGAAAGAAGGAGGTCTGTTTTTCTTGGAACTTCCTGTAATATCATGCATTCAAATGGGTCTGTTCTCTTGAGGTTTTGATTGCTTGATTTTTGGTTTTAATAACACTGTTTTAGATGGCAGAAGTTAACTTTGTTGACTAGAATAGGAATTTTATGAATTATAAGTATGTAGGGATTTTTATGGGGGTAGTGTTAATGTATTTTTTTTTTGTATTATTCTGGCATCTCCATATGGAGGCTGAAGAAAATTACAAAAATCCTCAGTTGAAAGAAATTTACACAAGATACCTGTTACCACTGTACCATCCAACAGATTTTGAGAGAATGAAGACACTGAAGGGAAGACTGTAAAAGTTATTTTGTAAATCGATGGTTACTGATTGTTGTTTGCACTCATTTTTTGTACTTGGTAATTGGATTTTAGTGTCAAAATACTTTTTCCAGATCCTTTTCTCACCAGTTTTATTTGACATCTCTTTTGGGAGTTGCTGTTCTGAGTAATCTCACTAAAGCTAATCTGGCATATTATGTACCAAGTGAGATGTGCATCCAAGCCATGTGATATTTTGATGAATTTGTCAGACAAGGCAACAAACATGTTTCTAATTATGTCATGTCATATAAATGCTTTCAGTTTTATTCTGAAGTACTAAATACATTTTCACTAAACATGACTGAACATACACATATTTTATAATATTCAGCCTTGTATATTTTATTGTAAAAGCATAATGTAAGGAAAATACAAACACAAATTTGAGTTTATTTGGTCATCAGGACTGCCTCTGCGGCTTCTTAAAAGCTTTACTCTGTTATGTCTTAAGGGACCACTTTCCTAGCCATTCATTATCACATTCAATGCCAGTCACACCACAGGATATGTGTACTTGTTAAACATTACCAGCCATGTCACCAAATATATGTGTACATCCTGCCATTTGACTGTGAATTTTCTGTACTAAGTCGTGGTAAATTCTTGCAAAAGAAGAGTTTTGCTGTTCTTATTCTTTTAAAAGTGACAGGAACTGCATTTGCAACCCTAAACTAAATCCTGTGCAGATCGCATAATCAGAATTCATGATGGTTGTTTCAGTGAATAACTGCTGTTTTAATAATTATGTTCTTGCAACTTCCGTTATTATCCTGGAAAAGGGGGATTTTAAATCCTCTGGCTGTCAAATTTGAACTTGGAGGCGAATTATATTAATATTGAAAGAACTTGGCCAACTAGACCACATGCATGCACTGTTAGTAGTGCAGCAGACTACAGATAGGAGTTAAAAATATAAATTTCCGGGGTACAAAATCGTCCCAGTTAGAGGGAGTTAAAGGGCATTGGTAAATATAGTAAACTCCCAGTTATCCACTATCCAGGCATGTAGATTTCTCATGCAGCTGGCAGAAATTTGAAAGAAAATCTATTATTTTATAAAATTACTTCAAAAACCAAGTTACAACATGAATATGGTTACCTGCCACATGGTAATCTTTGCAGCTGCCCATTATCCTTCTTCACTCAATTGCCATTAAAGCCATAGTGATGCATGATTACATAGTAAAGGTTAGTTGAATTTGTGATCATGTTACAGTTTTTCACCCATCAGTCCCTTATGTCTCACAAAGAAAGCACCAATTCAAGAACTATAGGAAAAAAGGGAATGTTAGGGTTGAATTCAGTTTCTAAGAATTTTCCTCATACAGCTGGTACACCACATTCTCCATACATGTTGGACAGCAAGAGTTCACTCTGTTTACATGCACGCATACACACGATGCACCACCAACTTTAACTTCAGTAACTTCTCTTTTCATCTGCAGAATACAAGCATATGTATGAGTTACATTTGGTTCTGAGAACAAACATACATTACTTTTCTAAGCACAGGAATGGGATGAGGCTTGTGTTTATTGGTACTGTGACCTCAAATGGGGTATTATACCAGTCTTTCATTAAAAAGATGAGCATGGGAACACAGGTGCCATCACTGGCAGAGAAGAACTGAAGGACTTGGAGAAAAGCACCCCATTGCCATTGTCCACCACAGATTTCATATAGATAACCCTGGGACTGAACCATGTTACTGGTAGTTAAGTGCCTGAGCTGTGCACAGCCTTTCTAAACATTATCTAGCTGGTAAATTTAACAGAAACGTGACTCTTTTTTAGCAGCAGGAATTGGCTTTTGGAACTCTCATGATATAAACCCATTCCAGGTAGTAAAAGCACATGAGAAAGAAGTTCAGTTTACACTCTGTAAGACATATAGTAAAATTGTATGGATAACCCATAACATCCAGTAACAGTGCTTTTCATCCATAATATTGTTATGTGTAGGGGGGGTACACATGATGAAATGACGGATTCTAGTTCAGAGAATTGGATTTATGAGCAGCTTGGTTACACACGCTCTCTTAATCACATTTAAATTACAGCGATATTGCTGATTTACACACATTCCAGTTCACTGTTGCACATGCAGTAGGATTCTCAGTCTTTACTAGTTGACTGCTAGCAACGGATTTCAGCACAGAATTTATCATTCAAATCACAAGTATTACATCTAAGATCTTCCAATTACACTTCCAGTATCACTGCACCGTCACACACAAAGTCTTCATACGATGAATTTGCTGTGGCTATCTTTCACTGAGAACTCTCCTTGTCACTTAAACACTCAGACACTCTCAAACACTGAAATCTGTTCTATCTGTAACTGTCGTTATATAGCTTCCGCTATATACGCAGAAAGCAACCTGTATAGTTGGAACATGTCTACTGAGCGTTGCATAGCAACAGGCTGAGTGGGGCTATGTGACGTCACTTGCGGAAACACAGAGGTCATGTGGCCCCTACTTACTGTTGCACAATCCAAGTGTTCACAGAGCTGTCGCCTAGCAACACACCGATACAATCTGCAACTACTGTTGAGCATGTGCCCCAAGGCCTCTGTGGCTCAACAGTTCCTGCATAGAGCAAATACACCACAGTATATTCATGGGTTTCGTTCTGTTTGAAGAACAGAGATTTTTTTTCCTAAACTAAACCAACTGACCTTTGTAACAGAAATGTGGTTTGTGTTCTTGGAGGAAGGAATTTACTTTTAAAGAGTGGATAAATTTTGTCCTACAGCAGCAAGTGTGTTGAACTACCGGGCTGCACTGTGGGCAGTGAAATTTTCCTGGCACAAAACACGAAGTCATGGAATTGTAAACATGTGACATTTTAGCAGCACCAGTATGTGATTCTGAATTATTCATATATTTCTCTTCAGAATGACTAGGAAAGTGATATGCATGTACCTATATATATTAATTTCTATCTGAAACATGTTACAAATTTGATGGGACTGAAACATTTCTGTAATTGAACTGATGAGTATAAGCATACATAGAAGTTTTATATTGCCACATGGGTGCCCGGCTGAGAGGGCAATCAGAATTAAGAACTGTAAACATACAGCATTCTAATCACTGTGAAGTGTAAAGGGTTGAGTTGTTGACAGAGTCTGTATTGTCAGTACTTTCATTAA